GTACGGTAAGCAGTTCTACTGAGTCCCTTTGTGAGTCAGGAAGTGAAATACAAACCGAAATTGTCTGCCCTATGGCTTTTCATATTTTGACAAGAAACTCCTAAAAAATTGTACTCATTTCTCTTATCAATACTGCACACACATTACTGAATGAGTAATATTTTAATAAAAGTAATAATTTAGATACTAGTGTTGGTTTGGGGGGGATTTCCCTCCAGACGTTAAGAGATGTTGGGAAAGTTTAGCTTTTCTGACTGCATGTGTCATGACAGCTATTTCTGTGAAGTGTCTCTGTACCTATGTCTTCTCCAGGACACTTTTTGTCATGAGCTGCTCCTTGTAATGCAATAAAATATGTTTTCTTATGGTTGGTATTTGTAGTCTCCTTGGAGGCACTGTTTACCCACAGCTATGGAATAGACAGTTACATATGAAAGAGGATTTGGCTGTTTAATTTCGTTATGAAACCACCTCAGTGGTGGCTACACGCAAAGGGTTTTCCTTCCACTTAGTGGTAGTTGGAGATGGGAACTTTTTGTCTTAAATGAGCCATCGGGGGAAGACACTGAGTCTACTATTTGACTGCCTGTTATAGACTCTGAAATTCCCTTGAGCTACCGCAATTTGTCTTGGTATCTGTTTAAAGACACAATGTACATTCATTTCCGATACCATGCTAGTGTTCCTGTCTTTGTGTTAATATGCCAATGTAAGATTCAAGTAAGATTTAATAACTACTGAATGGAAAAAGATGTTGAACTGATCCTCCATAACAATGACAAAACAAGCCTGCCAGCAGAAGGCACAGGGTTCATTGGATTGTCCTTTTGTCAGAACAATCTGACAGTGCCTTAGTATGACTGAAAGGGCACTGAACATTGGCACAGATTTTTCATTTTGGCAACATAAGGGAGTAATACAGGTACATCCCACCTGTGGTCCATTTAGGTTTCTGTTGTCGACACCTGATGATTGCCAATAAAGCTTGTGAGCCGTATTGTTTGTCAGTCTCCTGTTTGTTCGTTACGCTGGATTTTTTTGTCACCCAAATTTCTGAATATTATAACCCCAACATTTCAGTTCAGACCCTTAATATCTTATTTGCCTCTGAACACGAGGCATACAGAGACTTGCAGTTATCACACTTGCCCTTGTCTGTACACTTCATGCATCTCTCAAAGTATTCTGTTCTGTCACTTTGGGTTGAATGTCCTCCTTTCAGTTAAAACTTTTTATTTGTTATACCTGTTCTTAAGAATGTTTTTTCACATTAGAAGAACAAAAAAAAATTTAAAAGAACATTTAAAAAAAACAGAACTGTTTTTTTTTTAATTCTATTTGTTGAACAGGAGTATTAGTAGTGTTTTAGTATTTGCCGGTAGCTGTATCAGTCGTTGATACAATGTTAGAACATAATCCATTGTTAGAACATGAATTATCATCACATAATTCACATTGAAAAAACCTGTCTGTGATATTTGCTTGAGCTGTGATTAGTGTCTTCCAGTCTCATGTCTATATTGAATTAATGCTCTTTTCATATTGTGGCAAATCAGAGTTCAAAGGAACATTTTGAGAGTGTCATTTCAGGTTCTGTAGTTCAGTTTTATCTTGAAAGTGTAGTTTAAAAGTGTGGCGCAGTTAAGTGGATAAGGGGCTCAGAAATGGGCTGGGACCACCATCTGCTTTGATAATAGTGTGGCATCTGTGACCTGCAGATGTGAAAAGTCTTTGAATCTAGGCTCTGGGGAGACTGGCGGTTGGCTTACAGTCTGTGACTGACTTTATCTCACTTGTCTATTCATTTAAATCCATCTGTGCATCCAGTCCTGAACGCGAGTAGAGCTGTTATTTAGAAAACGTCTTGGCACAAGAGTAACGAGAGGGGCAGGTATTATTGTACCTCAAATGGCCAGTGTGGAGTTGTATCTTGTCTTGCTTTTTGTGGTGCATATAGTCAACCATTATGCACAGAAGATTAAGGCAGCCTTGAACATACATTCTTATCCAGTTAATACCACTTCTTATTCAAAATGTATGATATGTTTGCATGACCTGCATGTAATTTCATGTCAATCCTTCATTCTGATGATTCCAGTCCTTAAATGTAGCAATGACCGAAGTCAGATCCTTACTGTAGGAGATGACCTTAGTCTTCAGAGGAGCCCCACTTCACCTGATCAGAAACCAGTTCAGGTCTCCTTAAACCATCATCCTTGTCTGATAGGAATGTTGCAACTTCAGCTGCCTGGCAATTAAACATTTAAAAAAAATAAGTATTAAAAGATCATGACATGGAATGTTGCGATCATTATTGAAAATCTTAATGACTGCTTGTAAATGTAGTATGATCCCAATACAAGGCATCCAAGATGCTAGGCCTCTGATAAGCACTGGCAAATTTAAGTGAAATTCCGGCTTGCAAAATTGTAAAACAAATGTAAAACTTTTAAAATTGTAAAACAAATTAATGATGATTTACAATGGCTTCAGTAAGTTTGCATCTTCCAAACATCTCCACTTTTTGCATCTTAAACAGAATTCTAAAACAAGTTTTGCCTTTCACACTTGATGGGTTTCATTGTTGTTTCACCTTGTGTTGCTCTTCTTACTAGTGGGTTTTGGAATTTGTGATACCCATCCCATGCTGTGTAGTATTTGTTGTCACCCTGGGGAGCTCAGAGAAGTTGTAAGACAAAGGTGTTGTGATTTAGACCAGTTACTCTTTTCAAAGGTCGATCAAGGCTACTCCTTCCTGGCTTTGTGTGCATAATGTTTTATATTTTGCACGTCTTGAAACTCTGAAAGATCTAGTGGTGTATATTCATGTGAGAATTGACTGAGTACTATAGGAATTTTCTATAGTTACAGATGCAAAATATGTATTTTGTATCCTATTTTAAGTACAGACAGGCCTAGGATGTTTCTAATGAAACCCTTATTATTTCCATATGGTGACTGTCTGCGCTGTGATTGTGCTGGTCCAGAATAAGTAAGGGTTTATTCTCCTATTTTCTCCAAAGCACATTGATTTTTCAATTCCTGATTAACAGTGCCCTTACTTCTAGTTTTTTGGTGTTCCCTAGATTTCTTCACTTCGGGCTACATATCTTAGAATACTGCAATTCAGGGTCAACCCTGTTTATTCTTAATTTGCTTGAACTGTTAAAAAATTGGAGGTTTCCTTCTCAAAGTGTATTGCCAAAGTGTCAGAGTGTTTCGATTTTACATGCATGAACTAGACCTTTTGTTTGCTTTCTATGAATAGTAATCAGCACTGCTGTCAGTGTGAAGTGGTATAAACCTCTGTCTTCACCCCACAGTTATATGAACAACACAGTGAACAACACCATTGCCTTTTAGATAGTGCCTGCAGTAACAAGTTTCTCTTACTATCCTTTCCAGACAGCCCAAGATCAAATATTGTTTGACCAAAAAGCCTTGTCACAGCTCTTACAGATGCTGCCTCATCGCTGTTTATTTCAAGGGTTTTGTGGTAGTTACCAAGGGCTTGTCAAAGGAATGTTTTTTGTGTTCTTTTGTACCCGGCTGAGATTATGCTTGTCACTCAAGTTAGTGATGAAGCCTTTTTCATTAGCTTCTAACCTGATCTTTTTCAAGATTTCATGGATGACAGACCTTAGCTATTTAGCAAAACTGCATTTTCCATTTGCCGAAGAGCCATGCGTGTGACACTGTAATGTGAGCCTCCTGTGTCTTAGTACATGTCCCATTGGTTACAAATTTGTCATACAGAGAGTGGACTAGTGCACACAGGTGGTTCCATCTGTGATATAAAGTGGTATTCTGATACCCATTGTAAGACAGCCTATGCAAAGAACTCTTAATGCTGTAACAAGGGGGTTAACTAGACAACAATTATTTAAAAAATCTCCAATTTATTTTTAAGGATGGTAACATTAAGCTCCACTATTAGCTCCTAGGTCGGCCCCTTTTTATCAATGCTGATCTTTTTTCTTCCTTGGCATCCTTACACTTTTAATCTAGAATGGCACTCCTACGCAGGAGCTAACCCGACACCTTCAGCCCTGGAGAGAGGAATTAAATGTCTGTGTATCAGTAAACTGCTGAAACGTTGTTGGATAAATCTTTCTCACAACTTATTTGGGAGTGTGGAGAAGGAAGGCTACATGTACCCCTTCTAAATGTTAGTTTTTAAAACATTCCAGAATAACAAAAAAGCATTTAACATCTATTAAAAAATGGTTTGCTTAACTAGAGTAGAACTTAGTTTTCCATCTTGCATCAAGGGTATGGAGTCCAAAAATGTAACATTCCACTCATACCTTTGTGAGGTGTTGGTAAGATGGAGTGTGGTCAAGTTACCCTGCAGTACACTAAGGCCAAACACCCTATTAGTCCCAAGACAAGGGTTGATGAATTATTTGCACTTAAGTGACAGAATGTCATAGCTTGCCAGACGCTGTAGGAGTTTTTTGAAACTGTACTAAATCTGGTCTAAACATGGGGAAATGAAACAAAAGCCTAAATAAAGAACAGGTAAAGGTAGTTAAAAATGGAAAATGAGGTCCTTGTTAAAAGGTTAAATAAATCATTACAAATGAGAAAGTAGTCTGTAACTTGAATGTATTCATCACTTATACAAACCACAGCTGCCAATGTTTATGTTTCTTTTCAAAAGTTTAAAAGAAAACAGAATATTAGAAAATTAAGTGGGTTCACTTGATGAATTACTGGGGTTGCCAGAGAAAAACCTTTGTCGTCTGACAGTCTTTAGACCATTTCTTGTGTGGCCTTGCATATGCACATTTGAGTGGATGGGTAGGATATCAACATTTACTGTATGTCTTCTTAGCACAGGATGTCAGAGAGGCTTTCACACTGTTATTCTTAACGTAAAACAGCACAGAAACAGAGGCAGAGTTCAGAGCCATTGAATGAAAGTTCATTTTTGACTTTGTCTAGGAAATTGATTGTTCAGTCTCCTGCTGATTTTGTCCACCTTGTTTTCCTTTTAGGTTGTTTGATGTTTGCACAGTGTCCAGAACAGACAGGGAGACCAAACTGACACTGGTCTTTGAGCATGTGGATCAGGATTTAACCACATATTTGGAGAAAGCTCCTCAGCCAGGCGTACCACCTGAAACCATTAAGGTACCTTGGATCACTGCACTTATTTCACTTAATAATAAGTATTTGCAATACAAAGGTAAGATGTTTTAGTTGGCATCCTTTATATTCTCTCTCACATTTAAGCGTCAAAAACAACATGCCATGTACCCTAAAGTGTATCATCTCAATTGTATTTTTTTCCAATCCTCTGCTGTATAATTTCTACATTATGTGCTTATTTTTAACTCTGTGTTTTCCTCTCGTACTGGGGTGTACAGTACCTCACTGGATTCGAGTGGACAAATCTGAATGTGTCTGAATTCTGCCCCCCTGCAGTGAGGCAAAATCATGGAATCTGACGCAGCTACACAGAAGTTAGTGTTAGTGTTTCTGTGATCTTGCACGATTCACATCGAGTCTTGTTTTGTTCTTTGCCATGGTCATAGTTGCAGTTAATGTAGATGTCTTTGTGCACAGTGTGAAATCAATCAAATGCAAAATGGACGCAAGTTTGAGATTGCGTCCATTTTATTATATTTCTAGATATGTCTTGCTCTGTACAGTTGTGGATATGTCATTCTTATCTTGTGCTAGATTCATTCTGAACACAGAACACTATCTTGTTCGCCAAGTACAGTCTTTATGAATTATAATATTATTTAGATCATATTAAACAAACTGTTCATGCAAATACATTTTTTTTGTCCAGGATATTTTCTGACGCTGGTAGTGTAGTTTTACTATTGCACCTTGAGCATTTTTTTGTGATTATGCCCTTTAATGTTTCACTTCTTTGATTTGTGAACATTTGTGGATCAATACATTATTTTATTCCTGGGGAAGCTTACATGTATTTTTTTGTGCTGAAAGCATGTACAAAATCAATGCTATTTTAAGGAAAATATCAATAAGGAACGTCTGGCTCCAGTGACATAATGATATCTCAGAAGATATTAAATGAGTGCTTTAAAGTGTTGGGGCTGCACCAGAAAAAACAGCCTTCTATTTCAGGATTTTATAAATGAATCACCATGAAAGGAGTAATCCTGATAGTGAAACTTGTACCTACACAATTTGCTAATAACCAAAATGACAATGATATTGTTAATGCGCACTTTTCTAAATATAAAAAATGAAAGCATGTCTAGATGTAAGTGTTAATCATTACATTAATCTACTGCAGACATGAAGAAACATTGAATCCATAAAATGCAGAGTAATAAATATATATTTTAGTCATTTTTTAAATCATTCTTAGAATCACAATTTTTGTTCTGTTTTTTTCCCCACTGTGAGATCCCTCATTATCAGGCAGAATGAGGAGAACCTGTCACACATCCTCCACCTTTGTTTCTCTGGAGTTTTGCTGAAGGGCAAGGATTTTCCTGTAACTCTAAACATCTCCTGTCTATCCAGCTACTTACTACGTCTCACTGCGAAATAGTGCCCCACCTTAGACTGTGTATATAAGAGATTGCTGTCATTACTGAGACGTTCTCTGGTAGGTTTCAGTTTAGGTTTAAAACTACTTGAGAGTATAAGAAAGATTACAAATGAGGAGAATCGTGTTCCATCAACCACTTTTGGTTCTAAGTAGTTCTAATTCTAATTGATAAAATAATCTGTGACATTATGGCTGCACAGTTTGTTCAGGACTCCCACAACCTTTTGTGCCTTCTGTTCTCAGTTTTAAATGGGCTATGCTCTTGTTTCCATATGTATCATCTGGTTCATGTTTCACTGTTGATTCTGAAGAAGTCCCCTGGTTTTCATTTTGAACTAGCTTTTGAGGACGGTGCATTTTGCTGTTTAAGGCTATTAAAGACTCAGTGAAGGTAAAAGACACAAACTAATGCATGTCATTATAAAATACAGAAGCCACTGGCTTACACCTGAAAATAGAAATTACATTTACATTGCAGTGCAATACTGTATATGATTTTGGTGTTCTCCAGATCTCATATGTTGTACTCCTGAGTCATATGTCTGATGACCATTTAGTTACTAGAACAGAGTTATTTCTGTATATCTGAAAAGAAGCTTGGGGCAATAGTAATTTGTAGCTCAGTTAAACAAAATGTGTTCAGTAGGGTCAATGATTAATTTGTGTGCTCAGCTTACTCCCTCTTCTCCTTGATGTTTATAGCAGTTTGGAAGTTGTTTGTTTTTCTAAGGATTTAAGTCCATCCATTTTCAGACTGCTGTGTTCTGGTGAGGGTCAAGGAGGATTTCACACGAACAGAGATAGGACTGGTGTTGGTAGCTCTAATAAAGATATCATTTTACAGAAAGTCAGTATGTAGGTTATTTGTAATGAATTGTAGCTTTTGGGTGTGGGTCAGGAAGTTTACAGAACAAGGTACTGTGTTTAAGATCACCGCAGCGAACTGTCCCATGGCTCATTTAAAGGTTTATTTCCTCATGACTTTATACTTCAAAAAAGCAAAGGGTCATTGCTTAGTTCCTTGTCAAGAAAGGTATGAAAAAAACGCAAAAATAATGGAGCTTCCAAATACTCAACGGTAGTCAGCTTCAAAAGCAGACTTGCGTAATTTGAAGGAAATCAAATTTAAGACTACTGTAGTCATATGTAGGTGATAACTAGGATAGCAGCAGAGGTTAATGGTACTGTTAATGGTAATCCTTAAGCACTCATGTATGTCTATGGTCTTTACAAGACTGGTACCCATCCAGGACCCTCAGTGGTTAAGATTGGTTCCAGTGGAAGACATCAATTCATCAGCTCTTCAGAGAGGAACCTGCCAACTTTATTTTCTCTCGGTAAGAGGTGATGAGTCACAGATTCGCCACTGGGATCATGCGTTGTAAAAACCAGTCCTCAGAGATCTCCTCTGAGGTTTTTGTATGAAGGTACTGGATGGAGGGTCTCTGGTCTCTCTAGTGTAAGTGGATCCAACTATCACCCAGCGTTCAGCCAAGGGTATTCTTTAGAGTTAGGTAGCTTGAATAGTTCATATGACGTAAAATGTTTCTTGCAAAATCTTTTTCTTTTTCGGCTTATAGATGAAACATTGTCAGAGTGCTTTCTGACAGTACAGCAATAACTACTAGCCCACTGTCACTGGCCCACTGTCACTAGCCCACTGTCACTGGCCCACTGTCACTAGCCCACTGTCACT